AATTTTGCTTAAAATTAGCTTCGAAATTATTAATTAAAGAAAATATGAGATAAATCTGTAGGTAAGGTAGAAACTATCACCGATTTTCTGAATTCCCTCTTGGATATCAGTAAAAACAAAGTAACGTATTCGTAAATTAATTTCATAAGTGTATTTTGCAGAACGTGGGCGCACAAAGCCATAGGGTAAAAATATGTTGATGCCATAACCTCAAATAATTATTTATCCTAATCTTTGAACTGTACCTAGTAATAATTGAAAATTTGTTTTCAATCGACGCTATTAATTCCCACTTGAATCTTATTTCATTTTCTTAATTCAAATTTTTTTTCTTTGACAGCACTTCTATCTTGATAAAAAATTAGTTACATCTCAAGTGTCAACCTTTAAATGTCATCGCTAAATTTGTAGATGGTAAAATTGAATAAAATAATACGTTCAGAAACACATCACCGCACATTTTCAACGATCAAGTCCCAACAAAGCCCCAGAACTGTCAGAAACTGTCGCAAGACGCGGAGAGATTCGGCTAATATTTTCAAGGCGCAATTTCTCGTCGGCGGTTTTCGAGTATCGTTCCACACGCAACCTCGCACCTGCATACAGTTGCGCTATCGAAACTCCGTGGAGCCTTAGCTAAAAAGTGGCTGACGCGAAAATTGGATTTCTTCGCGCGACACCTTATCAACGACTCTCGGTGCGTGCGTGGACGTATTATACGTGTATACATATACCCATATAATCGTCCCTCCAGCTTATTACCACTTTCCTCGGCGATAGACTTGCTATTTTGTGCCAAAGTTTGAATGCACGGTATTGTGCTTCGCTGAAACGGGGCGTATTGCGACGCGCAATATTCGAGGTAGGGGGTGACGAGTGATTTTCACGTTCCTTTTTTGATCAGTTCAGAGAGTTGCGCGAAACGACCGGGGGAGAAAAGTTTTTTTTTTTTCTACACTTGGGCTCTCTTTGGTGTTGTGAGAGTTTTTTTCGATCCAGAGCTCTTAGAAGTGAGATGATTACTTTTTGACTTCGACATTGGTAATAGTGGCCATATCGAGTTGACAACTCCGTGGTGAGTTATTAGTTGCGAATAATTCAGTGCTCCCTAAATATTTGCTTATTCTATTTGTACTATAATTCATATAATAAAGTGATAGGCACGTATTTTTTTTCATTTTTTTTATGTTAACAAGAACCGACGGAGATAAAAAGACTTTAAACTTGTCCATGACTGAACCAAACTTTTTGGTATACTTTATCTTCATAAATTTTGTTTTTTCCCAAAAAAATTTATGTTTATTAACAATTGGTAGCCAGTAGGATAAATAGTATAAACGTTTAAAAATACGAATACAAATCCGTCTTTTAGGGTAGTGGTGATTGTATAATGAGACATGAAATATTGATAAACGATTAAATATAAGAAAAAGGCAAACACGAGCAAACATTAACACCATCATTTGTTGATAATTTAATTGACCTAATGGACTTTTTCCATAGAAACACTAAATTAGCCGATTTTTTTTTTTTTTTTTTTTTAATTATAATTCACTTATCGAAAAGACATAGCGCAAAAAAAATTTTCCACAACTTCTCTGTCGTTCAAACATGCCATCATTTTTTTTGGTTTAGATCTATATTTTTACTAGCCCCGCTGGGCTCGGTCGGATTTTACGCAGGCATTTCACCTAAACGCCTCCGTCGTTCGATCGCCTGGTCCTGAAACCAGATCCCGGAAAATCCAATACACCTGAGGCGAATGACTGAGTGGTGGGGCTCTCTTTTCCTTTTTTACACACTGCCCATCAGGAAAAAAAGCTACTCGAGGGTCGGCGATTTAAGGCCAACCTTTTTCTGTTACCCTCTTCCCCCCCCCCCTTTCTTTCTTTCTTCGAGCTTACCTCTTTGTGGCGTTACTTTCTTACGCCGTTCCTTTATAGAGACGTTCGAGTGGATAAGTGAGCTGCTTAGGAGGGTTCTGGTAACGGTAAATCACAGAGTTAATTTTTCCAGCACAACCAGCTTGATTTTGTACAACTTTTTTTGACGCATTTTGTGTTTTATGGATTTTATTTTATTTTATTTTTTTTTTTTTTACAAATAGACTACATTATTCACAAGTATATAAAGCTTACTAATAATTGTCTTTTTACTTTGAAAAAAATCTCATACCTACTCGTTGATATATGTACACTTTGTTGTGAATGGAATGCAATGATTTACATTTGGATATAAATTATATATGTATGTATACGTAATTGAAAATGTGTAAAGGCCGTATTACTTATGCTATTGATTATATTTTTGTACATGTATTTTAAAGGCATTGTAAATTCTAAAACCGATCAAGATAGAGTACAGTTTAAAAACTTCTATCAACTTTTTTAATTACTCTATAAAGCATCCTTAAAGTACTTAAAAATAAGAAATTTGATTCATCGTAGTGGGATTATTTATTATCAACTTAGCAGTTCTTCTAGTTGTATTGGAAAAAACTTTGATAAGCGTTATAATTTTTTAGTTCCTTTTTAAGCGATTGTTTTTATCTTTATTTTTGTTCGCATGATTTTTTGTATAAACATTATTTATACGGATTTACATAAAATATTGTCTTAAAGTAGTAGCAAAGATATGTTTACTTCTAACTGTTAAAATTTTTAAGAACTTTCTTTCCATCAGTAGAATAATTTCGATTATCTTCTATAGTTATTTGTTTTTATTGTTAACGTAATTTATTCCTACAAAATTTGTATCATCATGAAAATGATACATTTGTTATATCAATCTAAATATGTTTAAAAAAAATTGAATAGCACAAGTACAAAAAATTCGCTTTATGCAAAGATAAATAAAATAAATGAAAACATAATTCATATTTCTTATCACAAAAAAAAAAAAAAAAAAAATAGTAATTAACCACACTAATAGTGTAAATGTTTTTTTCCTTACATGTAAAACATAGCTGATAGCATGAGTGATGACGCTGCTCATTTACGTTCGCGCTACTACTTTAGGTAGACAAAATTCGCTAAATATTCACAAATATAAATATTTCATGTACATCAGCTTTATATTTTAAATATTGTAAAAATGTGAAAATTCTTCGGTTACAAAAAAAAATTCAAATTCACGTCTCATGCTACTACTACTTGGTACTCGACATTTCATTAGTCGATGGTTTCAAATTGTTAGCCGATGGCGTTTCGCTTTACCAAATAAGAGCTGCTTGATGTCGGAATGAAAAAGCTCTAGAGCAAATCAATTGCGTGGTACTTGAACTTTTGCCTTTTTTCATCGCCTAAAGCGATAATTTTCAGAACACGATCGGGTACATTATGGAGCTATTTGTACTAATGCCTTTTTTCTGTTCATCGCTACAAGTTACGTTATCTTTTTTTTTCTATGGATTTTTTTAGCCTATTTTTAAAGTAATTTCTAAATTAAGGTTGGTACTAATAAGCCTAGTCAAAAATTGTTACTCTACAAAAAAATATACGTCCTAAAATTAAAAAAAAAAAGTTAATAAAACACTTTTCATTTTTTTTTTAATAAGACAAATTTAGTTAACAAAAAAAATTCATGTAGTTATAAATCATTAATCTTTTGAACAATTAAACATTTGTTGTTGTAGAATTAGATTACTTTTATTTAATTTTCTGTTTTTCCAATAAAGAAGTATGGAATTAGCATACAATTATTAAATACTAAAAATGTTTTATCATTTTTTATTGCTACGTATATTTTTTTGAGTTTTAAAAAAAAGTATACATACTATAATTGTTAATATGTAGTTAAAAATTACATTACAGGTAAAAGCCAACAATTTTCGCGCTTGACGCAAAGATCGTCTAAAAAATAATGATAATGTACAGAAAGTTATTTATTCCTTAACTTGAAAATTGTTAACTGCAAGTATGTCTATCGTACAAACTTTTTGATCAGTAACTCTAAGAAACGTAAAAGAAAAGTGTTGTCATTCTGGTTATCTGTTCCTCGCGTCTCTGAATCAACTATATAATAGTAAATAAAGAAAAAAAATCAAAAGTATAAAACATGGCATCTGTCAGAGATGACTGAAAGTGTATATATATATCTGCTCGATATGTGCTCAGTTCCTCAAAGGCCCTGTACTCAAACTCGAAACTTGTATAAAAAACGAACTACCGTCTTTCTCTCTTTTTTTATTTCGGAACTTCGACGGATCGCAATTTCGCCTTCTTGCAAGCTTGCTTATTGGCATATGCTACGCGCTCGGGAACTCATCGAACTTTTCCTTTCCAGGATGGATTTCCTGATTTCGCGTCTTAAATACGCGCGCCCAACACTTTTTACATATCTGTTTTAGCGTTTGACGATGTGCGTTTTCCAAAGATCTTTGAGTCTTTGATACAGGTGATGTGTTTTTAATACATTTTTTTTTTTTCATTCGACACAAGTTTAAAAAACTTTTTGCCACTTGCAAAGAGTTTGATAATATTCATGTTATGTTGCATCATTTAAATAGTAATGGATTATCATACATTGTAATAAATAACTACAACAATGTTTTATCATATCATATGTATTAACGATTTGCTTCATTTAGTATTGTTCAATGGAAACTTGAATTCTTTTGTCTGTGAAGAATTAAACTCATACAAAAAAAATGATTTTAGAATGTAGCGTAATGCTTATCAATCATAGGATAATTTTTCTTTCTATTTGCAGAATAAATTACTAACTAACCGTGGTGGCACTTGCGCATTAAAAAGCCTTTTTTTCCTGGCCACTCTATCAAACATTAGTCAATCAAGATCGTGAGTGTTGCTATTGTTATGGACTTTTTTTATCACTGCTTGAAAAATAAAGTAATGGTAATTGATTTACACAAACTTTATCTATGTATGTAAAATTAGTATTCTCACTATGGGCACAAAGAGGTTAGCGGGCCCAAAGTGAGCTCACGAGTGTAAAATAAAACTTTGTGCCCTCGGTAAGAAAAACCTCATTTTCGGCTCGGATACAAAGGTACAACAATCGATACTTGGGCTACGCAAGTCGTTATTTGTGTCCATGGTACGAAGTATATTATTCTGCATTACGTAAACAGTACAAATGTTTAGTCCATTTCAAGTGTGGATTACTTTATACAAATGAGGTTATGTAACATAACCTTATTCTCTGTCGCTTTTTTATCTCGTTGATCTTCTGTTTTACTGTCAAAATACACCTTAGTAACTATCAGATCTTCATTTTCGCTTGGTAAAAATGTTCTCAACCAATTCCTTGGTGATAACTCGATGCGGTCGAGTGGGGCTCTCGGTTGATCGCTGATAAAGTCGACTGTTGATGGCGTAGAGCTTAGGACTGAGTTCGCAGCGCACGTTGAACCACCAATCGCAGACAAAGACCGCCTGGCTGAATTGAGTGCCGTTGGGACAGAGGAAGCTAGCTTGTCGACCGTCTATGTCGCAGTAGTGCCAGACTTGACAGCGCGTCTCCATGTCGGCGAAAAAACCCGGGTAAGGCTGGTCGTCGCAGTAGAACTGTGTGTAGGGTACTTTTCCCAGTACTGGGTAGTCCGTTCCTGGTCGACCTGTAAATAATTCGTCGAATATAAGCTAATGCGTTTTGTAATATAAATATTTTTAACGGGATCCATAAGGTCTACTTTACCGTAATATTTTACTCTGTCATTGAACTATAATTTTTTATTATTTATTTATTTAAAAACAGATTAAACATTATGAAACTCTTAGATTTCATGCACTTGATAATATGATTGTTTAATAAAATACAAAGTTTAGGATTATGTCAGGGACAACTTGAAAAATTCTGGTACAAAAAAACGTAAAAAAGCAAGAATTTTCCATGTTATCGATCACGTATCAATTCCAAACTTCGTACGATATATAATTTTTATCATAATGGATATGATTTTGGGTTTGACTGATTTTTTTAACTATATTTAAATGAATAGTAAAAAACGTACATTTTACCGACAGAGTGAACTCGAGACAGCAAAACATTATGGTGAAGTAGGTTTAGTGGATCCTCTTATGTTCCTTCTATTTTCACGTCGATCTTATTATTTGGGAATCAAAGTAAAATCTGTATGAATATTCATTAAAAGTGATTCAGTTCTGGTAAAATAATAAGCTTAAAAAAATTTACTGCAGTTGTAGAAATAAACCTCAGTTTAGGATCCGGGACTAATCAGTCTTGTGCACAGTTTATGATCAGTTTAACAGACCTAAGGGTACACGGATCAGGAACTAATCAAGAACTGATCTTAATATGAGATGATTGTGAGAAGACAAAGAGTGGATTTTCAATGTATCATTTTTGCAACGTAATGTAACTGATGATCTATAAACTAGACGCAAGAATATGGTGTTGGTATTTTATTACTATCTTCTTATTGTGTAAAGCACATTCATGTGGCGTAAAGCGTAATACTGTATTTTCTATGTACCAACGAGTGTTTTATAAATTAACTCAGACAAAGTCTAATCAGTCTTTAGCAAACTCAGCCTGACTCATTTCTTCAACAAAAAAATTTATTTTTGCTCCTTGCTTTTTCTACGAAGTTGAATTGCCTAGGTATTAATGAACTCAAGGCTGATCACGTTCTAGCATCGTCTGGATAAACTCCTCCAATGAATGTACATTTTTTTTTGTAACGTTCTGCAAAAATTTTAAATGATAATTGTTAGTAAAAAAAAAATTATTTGCCTATTGTGGGCATTTCTGAGTAGCTGCAGACATGCCCTCAGTAAGAAAAATAGTTTTTGTCACTCATTGTGCATATAACCAGGGTGGTCACAATAGTCATGAAAATTGGAGTAAACAAATACATGATGGGACGACAAAATATGTATAGGTATATCGTTGAGAGACTAATAAGTAGCAGACTACATAATCCTACGTGACCTTATCCGGAACTGATCAGAAACTGCGTACAAGACTGATCCGTGTGGGATCAGTATAGCTGATCAGTCTCTGATTTAATCATACTGGGTGCCTTAAGATCTTTCTATTCGGGTTACGGCTCATCAATACATCAATTAAAAAACGAGACTTTTTTAAGTTGCAACTTCTGAAACACTTATAATTATTGCCATATCATGTCGGGCTGTTGTATTAGCCGACAAAAGGCAGTGCAATAGGTACTTACCTACGGAAATCGTATGCGAAGTGGATCAGTTTATGAAAGGGTGGATCAAATAAGTTAATTAGTCGCGCCTGGTTGCGTTTTCCGAACGAAAAGGCTAAACTGCATTACCCGAAAATCAGTAGCAATAATCAAACTCTCCCCCCCAACCACCTTTTCCCCCTTGTTGGCGTCTCTAATCATCTCTGGAGGGCGGATATGTGCGTGTATGTACACGAAGCGAATTGGATCGGTCAAAGGCAGCCATTGGCTAAAGCAGTTGCGCTCCGATTTCGAGAAGCTTGAGCGAGCTCGGGATATTAGTTACACTAGGCTAGGATTTCGAATATCGTATTTGCGCGCCGTTGACACCCGCGTGGAGCATCGATACCTTTGCCGTAGTTTGTTTTCTTGTTCAGCTGTTAGTGATGGTTAAATACGTGCTGAATGTACATTTTTTATCACTCGATTTTTTTGGTCAGTTATGTGTCCTTAAAATGATTTACTATAAAAGCAGTTGGTAACTTTTGAATAAATTTCTTGTGCAAACTACATTGTTGTCAACAACTTACTACTGGGAAACCTGCAACATTCCTATATACCTCTCTCATGGTTCAGGATTTTTTTTAAGTACCACGTTACTGCGAATAAACCAATCAGATGTCCTTAAATGAACCTTTACCCAAACCTCGTGGTTTTTTTTATTCAGAACTATTTTGTGAAATAACGTTTTCCGTGCAATTAATGTACTTTGTGGCTCATAGCTTACTCTGATTTGAAAATTATTTTGAATAATAATTTATCATTGACTTATCATAGATTTTTCGATACAAAATAAACAGCGCATACTGTACCTTACCTGTGGTTTAATTAAAACCCTTTATTATATGTATTGGCTCTCAAATTTATTACTTTTTTCATAATTTATAAGCAGTGCCTTTTCAAAAATATCGTCTTAGCCCCAGGGTCTCTGAAGATAAAATTATAAGGAAATTTTTTTCAGTCTTCAAAAAACTTTAAGAGATTTCCAAGTCATTAAAAGTCTTAAATGATATTGAAACTTTTAATACACTTTCATAAAATTTTTTGTCAACATTTAAAAGGTTTTACGCGATTTTAAATAGCTGTGAAAGTCTTACGATTTGAATAGTACTTAAAAAACGCCAAACACATCCTCAACGAATTACATGATTAGTGGTTTAGCCAACAGCTAACACAGTATCGACTTCTCTTTTGGATTATCAGCTCGTCAAGACGAAAAAAAATTTTACCAATAGTAAATTAAACAATATTCATCCAAAAATCATGGAAAATATCAGAGAAGCGTAAAATTTGAGCTTGTCCTAGAAAATCATTAGGATTAGAAAATAGAGAAGTGCAAGAAGTAGGAACGGCTATGTCTACACACGCAAACGGGCTCGTTCGCTCGACTAACCGATCCTCTTCAGCCCCAACGATATCACAAGTGTATACTAGCAACAGGCCACCGATACCCACGCTCATTCGCAGTGTTAATTGCGCGTGAGCTGCTGTGCGAGGCCAAAGGGTTTAATGAAGCTCTCTTTCTCTCCACGCGAGCACACAGAGAAGGAAATAACAGCTGGTGCGTGTGTGTATACGTATGTACTCCGCCGCGGTCGCCGCAAAGAGAATCGCTTGGATGTACACCGAAGCATGGAGAGTAAAGGGTAGAGAGGCGCAGTGTGTAGTGGTATACGTATGATGCACTGCTTTCGGCGTGCTCGGTATTAGAATGTCTTTTGTGGGTATTTCACGAGTTGATTCACTTGTGGGTTTGGTAGTGATTTTTTTTTTTTTTTTTTTTTTTTTAGAATAGTTTTTTGTTTGGTCAATCTTTTTTGTTATCATCAAACAAGAAGAAGTCATCAAACAAGTCTTGGTTACCGAATGGTTAAAAATAGTCGAATCATCATAACAAACAGACGCGATTTCTTTAATAAAAAAACAAAAAAATAAAAAATAATCCTTGATCCCGAGCAACAACACTATCATCCGAGTAGACCGATCGATCTCCGATTTCCTCAAACAAGCTGCTGCATGCGCTTACCTTCGTATTCATATATATTCATTAATCCGAGTAAAAATCCTTTAAAATCCGCAAAGTAAACCCAAAACACGTGCGCATATTCATCATTTAAATCCAGTACCGCGTCAGTGAGCACAAACGACCGCTTTTCACCTCTTTGGTGGACCGAAATGCACCATCCTTTCGTATTATTAAACGCCTCGTATCATCATCGATGCATCGCTGAACTGTCTCATGACGGATGGTGCCATTGCGTAACCGGAACCCCCCCCCCCCATACACGTGCGCGTGTCTAAGTGTGTGTAGTATTATTAGAGAGACAACCGAGTCTTTGGCTTCAGTGCATGATAATTTCGCGCTCGTTACGGGTGAAAGTTGCAGCAGGCTCTTCTTTATTGTCCGCGTGGCGCTCTTTGCATACGCGCGCGCATACGTACGTAAGAAAACGGAGAATCGTGAGATCGATAAATCCGCGGGGCTTGTAAGTTGCGAGTGTGTGTATGTTATCGAAAAGAGTCTCGTGTCTGGAACGAGCGAGGGTTTTATGCGCGATCGCAGGCTTGGAGAAGTTTTCGTTTGTGATGGCCGGTTAAGTGCCTCGTAAAGCTTCAATTTCGGTGCTATAAGTGAATACTATTTTGTTATTTTTTTGAGGGGTATCGTTTCTCCTTCGGAAAGTTTGGTAATGAGGGGTTATAGTTTATTCACTAGTTGCATTGTACTCTGGAACCTGCGAGCCACACTCTAGAAGTCAAGGGGAAAAAATTGTCCATGTTATCGAAAGTCATTTGAAGACACGCAAATGTATATCAAAGTCTTTGGAAGTCATCCAATGACTTTACAGTCTTTTGAAGATGAGAGAAATCTTCAGAAATTCTGAGAGACTAAAACATTTAAAAAGTCAATTAAAATATTTTGATGAACTTGAAAAGACCCTAAAAGTAAAAAAAAAAATATGTTCAAGTCATGTAGACAAATGAAAGTCTTTTATGACTTTGTAATCTTTTGAAAAATTTTGAAAATCTCAACGAGACATAAGTTTTACAGAGACTTCGAAATGCGTAGCCCCTTGATTAAATTGTTCATTGTGTCGTAGATATTTTAATAATCGCAATTCTCCTTTAAAACGAAAAAGGATACCTGAGCTGTAGGTACAAGTGAAAAGTAATGCTAGGCATGACATCCACTCATCCTTTGCCTTACGAGTTACAGTAAATTACGAGGTAAATTAGGTACAAAAAGACAGACTTTAAGGATATTTTGTCTCATGTACGCCAAAACCTTCGGCATGATTTTTCCAAAGATTTAATATTGAACGAAAAAAAAAAAAAAAAAAAAAAACTTTGTACGAGCTTCAAGTCGGATGCGTAAGCTTCTTAACAGAGATTCGACTCTT